GGGGGGGTTTGTATTTTGGAAATAATTTCCTAGGGATTTTCAATTGTTGAGTACTTGCAAAGGAAAGTTAAAGCAGAAGTGGTGAAGTAAATATTGTTGTCGGTTTTGCTAAAGTAATTGCAATGTGGAGTATCGGTTTTGTTCGTACTGACCGGCCTTTTTAATTAAACATTTGGTTTGAAAGTATGGACATTTTGAAAACTTTGGAAGTGGGTTTTGTATTTTGCTAGGGATAGATTAATATTCGAACTGAGCCGAATTTAAGTCCTTTGTCGGCATCAATGTAAGTTCTCGAAGAAGATAACAGTGAATTCGTTTTTGAGAACAATGTCAGAAACATCTCAGTAAGGCAAAACTACCGATGAAGACATGTTGTGATGGAGCTTACGGCATATCTGCTATTTATTGTTGTTAACTTTATTTTCAGTAACTTACAAACACCTAACATGATACGAATTGGAAATCACGTTGTTATTCAGAAGATGGGGGGTGAACAATTACGCGTATGCAAAATATCACGAAAAACTAAAATTTTAATCGAGAAATTACGGTTCGAAATTGATGGTGCAATTGATCAACCGTATGGATTGTTTGAGGTGATTTTATTAGATAATGCTTCGAGCTTTGATTTTATGCGTAGCTGTTATGAATTAAAAATTTTCAATAATAGTTATATTTTAAATTCAGCTGCATCAACTCATTCTGGCCGTTGCAATAAAATAGATCCGTTTGGTTTAATTCATGCAGTTTAGGTTTCTGCTGGAAAGTTAACGCGTGTCGCACCGGAAAGCATTAGGGATATTGCTGCTGCATTTGATTTTGGTATGGTCCTGAATGACATTTAAAATACTACTGTATATTAATTAACTTTGAAGACAGTTTTTATTTTCATTTGGTTAGGATAGCATATACTACTGTTTGTACTACTGTATATGCATATGCTATTAACGAAATGCTTTTGTACTAGCTCGAGAGTTATTTTGGGGATTTGTAGCTTCCCTCACAGTCATGCGCTTAAAAAAAATGCATTGAATGACTTTCCATGTTTGTTAAATTTATTGCAATCTTTTTTGGTTAATTCTTTATAACTTGGTAACTCGTTATATAATGCTATTGTATCAAGCAGTAAGTCTTATAATATTTGCAGATGCAGTTAGCACAAGTTCATCATTCAAATTAAATGGCATTAGTAATACACCGAACATCTCGAAATCATCAGCAGGGGAAGCAGATTACGGAAATCCAGTACGAGCAAGACAGAAAGTGACGCAGGATGAGATAATCAAAATGAAAGATACAGGCGTACCAACGGAGCAGTTGGTAATGTTAGTGCATTATTGAATATTTGGTCGAAAACAGAAGTTTGGATAAGACCGCTAATACCATTTTGCACATAAGACTTTATTTAAATTACATTATTCACTCTTTATCGACATAAATTGTAAGAAACCCTTAAAAAATAGTTGTTCTAATTAATTTTACAGGAATAGGCAGATAAAGGATATTGTTAGATCCTAAATTGCTTTTACATGTTAAATCTGGGTGACTTTTGGATTCTAATTTAGTATCCAAAAACAACCTTGCGAAGTTTTTAGTAAGCATTGAGAAGTGAATGGTCACCATATGTCTCATCTTAATTGATGTTTGGAAAAATAGTATTTATATAATGTGTCCAACTTAAACATTAATCTTCTTTCCACTCTGATCTTCATTTCGAAACTGTTGGAACCTATAAGAAAGAATTTGTAGATAGCAAGATTGGTCGATGGTAGTGCATCATTTTCCGAGCGTACTGTTTACTCGCAAAATAAATATATCAATAAAAAAGCGAAGAAACATTCAGATCATGTTTATCTTTTAAAACCAACTTTACGCTTAATCGCCGAATCTTACTATAAAAAGGATCCTGAAAGAGTGGCGCATCTCAGGTATGATTTCGTTTTTTTTATATGTATATTAATAAATTGAAAAAGAAAATAAGTATTATGGAATGCGTTTGTATGGTCAGACTTCTTTATCATCAGTTAGTAATACCGTTTTTGTTGTAACAAGATTCTTCTGTATCAAAGCATAACAGAAATAGCATTACTATACTTACATTGCCTATCAGTGGAATTAA